GAGTAGAGTAGAGTAGAGTAGAGTAGAGTAGAGTAGAGTAGAGTAGAATAGAGTAGAATAGAATAGAATAGAATAGAATAGAATAGAATAGAATAGAATAGAATATTTCCAATCTCTTCTTAAAAACTTCCAGTGTTGGAGCATTTACAACATCTGGAGGCATCTTGGTACCTTTCTTGACAGCTGTTATTAGAGAAGATACCCTTACCTTATTTTATAATATATATATTTACCTTCCCAGCCTGGCCTAACCTTCGAATTTCCTAGTAGTTGCTCTCCAAATACCAAACGGTCCAACTGTGTTTAGCTTTGGAGCTCAGAAAACTTGAGTTACTTACTAAGCCTACACTGAAAAGCACTTCGAGAAAGAAACAAACAACTTGGTTGTTCTGTTGTTTAAAACCTCTGTAATAACCAAGTCTTCGCTATAAACACATCTATAAAAGTCAGAGATTAGTCACTTGCTGCAATTTCAACCATTGATTGGTTAATTATTTTTCCTCTTCGGATAAATTCCTTGCAGGCTCGAATGAAGTTTGATTGTCCAGGCTCTTTTGTAAGATGATGTGTTTGTTTGTTTAAAAATTTTTTCCCAAAGAAACTAATTTTGAATGTTTGATTTCTAAATTTCAAAGCCTAACACAGTTGCCACAGCAATAACAGAAATAGGACCTGCAAACACAGCAGATGGTTGGGAGGTTCCTTTTAAAAAGGCTCTCAAGAGACTTATGCATCATATGCTGGAGTTATTTCTGGAAAAAAAATGTTATATTCATTAAATTAAATTGTATTGAATATATTCATTCAATCAAATCCTGACTCACAGACTGCAGAGTGACCTAACATTCCCCAGATGTGTTGGAAGTGAAACCAGGAATGGGCAAGATAAGCCCACATGAACCACGGTGCACCTGATACAATCATGGCTAGTATAAGCTGTTTGTGATTGAAATATCACAACTTTCTATCCAGTGATCCCAACACATCTAAAAAGCACCAGGGAAAGTCTAGTCTAGAGAAAAGAAGGACTAGCAGTGACATGATAGCAGTATTCCAGGATTTGAGGGGATGCCACAAAGAAGAAGGGGTCAAATTATTCTCCAAAGCACTGGAGGGCAGGACAAGAAACAATGGATAGAAACGGATCAAGGAAAGAAGCAACCTGGAATTAAGGAGAAACTCCCTAACGGTGAGAACAATTAACTAGTAGAACAGCTTGCCTTCAGAAGTTGCAGATGCTCCATCACTGGAGGTTTTGAAGAAGAGTCTGGACAGTCACTTGTCTGCAATGGTATAGGGTTTCCTGCTTGAGCAGGGGGTTGGAGTAGATGACCTCCAAGATCCCTTCCAACTCTGTTATCTATCTATCTATCTATCTATCTATCTATCTATCTATCTATCTATCTATCTATCTACATACATACATACATACATACATACATACATACATACATACATAT